CCTGGTTAAACATGGATGGCCACCAGCAGCCTGCTGAAGACAGGGATCGGGTCCAGTGGGGCTGCCTCTCCTACAGCACTTAACTGCCACCTCCACCACCATGAAGTTAGCATCTATACTACTGAAGGAACGGACTTCGCCAGAAATCTCAACAAGCACACAGCATACACACATGCAACTTGGTACACGCTTCAGATATTGTACTGTATCTAAAACCTCCCCTTGCCAATTCACAATGATCATGAGAGACTGCATTTTACAGCCGTTTTTTGATCTGGAAATCCATGATCTATGTATTGAACTGATACTGAACCCGCATCACGCACAGAACAGTGCTGGGAAAACCCGATTAGCCCATTGCTGTGACCGACATGAAGATTATACAAATTGCTACCCAGCACTGCAAATGCTCTTATGCAGTTTCACCTTCTGATCAAGAGATTTCAACAAGATCATCACTACACTGTTGTGAACCGACTGAATTTATCAGTTAAATTAACGCATTGTTTCCTGGTTATTTTAATAGTAAGTGGAGTCCTGCGCGCCTTTAACTGTGGTTTGCACTTAACATACTGCACCTCTGTTATAAACTGATTGTAAAATTACAGTTAAATTAACTGGCAAAAAGGGTGCAAGTTTATAACAGTGTACCAATATGCTAGTAAAATTTTAAAATAAAAAGGTCTTCATTAGGTCTTGCTTTTTGTGGCATAGCATCCCTCAAATTTCCAGTTTATTTTTTAAACTTATCAAAAAGTAATTATGGAGGTGTACATCTACAATAGCATAGCCTTCTGAAATGCAGTTTCCAAATATGTGACTTGTTTAGAGGCGGCACAGAGTCGCTCAGACGAGAGATAGCTTAAGCTAAGTTTGGCCAGTCCAGGGTAGGTTTGGTTCAGGGGACGGATGCCTGTGGCAGCACACAATTAGCTAACCAATGTAATGTTTTTACTGCAGGCCTTATTTGCAGGGGGTTAACGCTGAAATGGATCCGTCGCACCCACAGTTACTTAAGGACGCTTAATAATAGGCCTCTGTGAACACAGCTTATTACTCGATTGCTTTGAGATGGGCGTGGAGGCCTCCTCTGGGATGCTTTGTTTGGGTTGTCACATTGGCGTGACTCATGCGGAGTCTTGGCCCCCACTGGCGAATGGGGGTGTACTGGCTGCTATCTACGTGTGTTTCACAGACTGTCACACACGTGACTTCAAATGCTTCTCGCTGTACTGCAGTGGTCATTCTACTTTTTTTTCCCACTCCAAACTCTCTGGAAGTGGAAAAGGCCTCTTTTGTCTGGATCTTTGTGAAAGAGCACTGAAGAAAAGCAGCGTGTCTGTAGGCCTTCGAATGGAATTAAAGCTCTTTCTTTGTGAGAGATTAATAATCAGGAAAATCCTCACGCAAGAAAAAAGATTCGCTTTATTTAGATTTTGCTTCACCTTTTCAAGAGGATTAATACTGGAGTAGACAAGGAAATAATTACTCCGTGGCCTTCATTAATTCTCACGAAAATTAAATGATTCTTCGTGCAGCACTGATAGTTAATGTTTTCTTTTTGTTTTAGTTAAATGTTCTTTTTGTCTAAGCTAAATATAGCAAATGGAAGTAATTTAATGCATGAAGATAGAATTACAGAACTTATTTTTTTTGTTGAAGTTACAGCCTAGTGCATTATTATTTAGTCACACTACTTTTGTTTTTATTGTCATTCATTTCTGTATATATGAGCTCACATTTGTATATTCAAAGACCTCAGAAGTAATGGAGATATTTGGTTTAAGGGATAGTTCACCCAAAAATGAAAATTCACTCATCATCTACTCACCCCAAGGCTAATCGAAGGGTCGGCAAATTATTTTCGTCCTCAAAACACTTTTGGAGTTACAAAGAAAAACAGCATTGAGGACAAATCCAAATCAACTGAAGTCATTGGTGACCACTCTTTCAAGCGTAAAAAACAACATTTAAAAAACACAAAATGTCTCCATACTGCTGGTGCGGCGTAATCCAAGTGTCTACAAGCCCTGACATTCAAATTTGACTCAAAAAGACGTCTTTTCACCATGTTTTTAGCCTACATGTCCAATGTAGCCACTTGGCTAGGAGCCCTGTTTATTTTCATGGAAGAAGTTGACCTCACTACGGTGGCCAAAGAGGGTAAATAAGCTCCTCAGTCAGTGAATACTAACATTCCAAACTGCAGTTCATTTCTCCAGTTGGAGCTGTTTAGGGCCGTTGCAGCGTTATTTTTAAACATCTTTTAAAACATCTTTTCCGATGCTATTAATGTAATTTGATTTTTATATTGCATTTACAAACATAGTTGCATGTCCTTAATCCTTAATTTACCTTAGAGGGTTTGACTCAATAATATTGCCTCCGGCTTTATTTTTAAATGATTCCTGGACACAATCAGCACCATCAACATAGATGGTAGCTTTGGTGCTGTGGTTTTGGTGGAGAACCTCATCCGTTTTTACTGATGTAACTGCATGATCAGCACTTAAGCAAGCCTCCCTTAGATTATGCTTGACTATGTATTTAAATGCATTTCCATGTGAGCATTCTAGACAATTTGAGTGGTCGGTTCCAGATCAGATCCTTCCCTGTTGGTATGGGAGAACCAATCTCATAAGGCCTTAGTTTGGGAAAACAAGATGGTTCTACTTGCTGCAGTTGTCTGTTCGTACTGAAAACCTCCTATTGGGTCAAATACAAGCGATCAGAAAAGGGGAGATGAGAGTCTGACTTCCTGTCGTGTCTGTGCAGATCACATAGGCGATGAACAGAGCACAGGCTTGCTGGGCTTCCTTCAAACAAGTCATTGCCCCTGAGGATCTCTGCATCTTTCAAGCAAGTTTTCTGTCTTCTGTTGTGTCCTGCTTTTGATCATGTGTGCAGACTGAACTCCACAGAGTAAACATAAGTCCTTTTTAAGATGAGGCAGGTTTTCTTGTTTATTGCGGAGCTGAAAAATGCATTTACATAATGTCTGTGAAATCTGCTCAAGACCTGTCTCCCAGTCTCCACCCTTCACTCCGGATCTCTCTGCTGTTGTTACAACACAACTTGAAAACCCCAGACTGCGCAGTACTTGAGGTCCTAACATCGGGTGTTTTTGTGCGTTACGGGCCATCTCGTCGAACTGGTTTTCCGATTGGGAAGATTAGTGAAGCGCTTGAGACTGCAGTCCCTGTTTCTGCCATTTTCCTTCTCTGCTTCCTGCATTTATGTCTGGATCATCAAACTACACTCTCTTGTGACACTGCAGGGAAACTTCCTGTCATTTGTCAGGAGTTATACACAGTGGTTGGTATTTGTCTAAATAAAAGCTGAGTGGAACATTTTCAATTTCCAGGAAGTTTTCGTGCCGCTTGCTGATTGGATGCTTAGATGTGCCCCACCCCCCCCCACACACACACACACACACACACACTCGTGACTGGGATAAGCAGGGGTGGATGTGACATTCTGTGTGGGTGACAGTAATTTCAATGCAGTTGATTCATAATAACAAGTGCTTTTTTGAAGTTGCTTGCTGTATAATCTTGTTTCAGGGCAAAATATAACTGAACTCCAGCCTGCGGTTTTGGATGGTGGAGTTTACGGAATGGATAGTTTATGACATGAAATAGATTGGACATATGGTGAAGGCCGGCCTGCTCTGGAAAGTGCATTGCTACTCAGTGTGTGGTAATCGGAGCCTCGTTTGGGCCGGAGCTGGGAGTATGCACCCCTGACTCCTGACTTCTTACTCGGTTTCCTGTCTGTGAGGAAAGGTCAAGGAAGAAAATGCTGACCCTGAGCAGGTCTCGCATCCCTTCTTTAAAACTGTGTTTTCTAAGGAGGAGCCCAGACCAGATATCAGCTCTCAAAACCTGTCACTCTTCTGATTTGTTTGCTTATCATAACAATTTTTATCTGGGGTGTCCAATCTAATCCACGAAGGGCCGGTGTGGGTGCTGGTTTTTGTCACAGCCCAACATTAATACACCTGATTCTACTCAACAAGGTCCTGATTAAACCTCCTGATCAGTTAATTAGTGGGATCAGGTGTTGTAGCACTGGGCTAAAACAAAGACCTGCACCCACACTGGCCCTTTATGGATAAGATTGGACACCCCTGTTTTATATGAACAGCAGTATATGCTATATGCTTTATGCTATATGCTTTTGTAATCAACAAGAAAGCCTATAGCATCCTGAGCATGGCAATTCAAAGGACAGGTATGAATAGAGAGGTGACTATGTCTGGTTTGCAAATTGAAGTGTAATCATTTCACCAGTGGGGACATGGGTCAGTGGCTGGAGGTCAAGGTTCAGGAAGTGTAGCCTGTCTGTTACTAAGAGGTTCAATGCATGGGATTATTGATAGCTGTGAGAAGCAGGAAGTGCTCATGCGTGGAGCAAAGAGAAAAGCCATTCAGGCATGCATCTGGTTTCTGCACATCGCAAGTCCAGGGATCCTGGAAGTATTTCCATTGTTTTTGGTTGAAGAGATACTCAGAGTGTGGTATCTGATCTCTGTGGGTCACATGAGTTGAGTTGAGTATTCATTAAATGTGTAGGATTTGTGACCACGTAAAATACATCAGGACTTCGTTCAAGATAATGTTTGCATACACAGATTTTGCATCTAAAATGTGGTGCGGAAAATGGCTCCAATTCCTGAATGGATTCAATCGGGATATAAATAAAATACACTGCCTGGCTAAAAAAAAAAGTTAAAATATTCTCTATACCTGCTTATTCCTCACTAGGGTCGCAGGGGGAGCTGGAGCCTATCCCAGCTGATCACGGGAGAAGGCAGGAACCCACCCTGTACAGCTCGCCAATCCATCGCAGGGCAAGCACACCATTCACTCTCATACCTATGGGCAATTTAGTGTCTCCAATTAACCTGATATGCATATCTTTGGACTGTGGGAGGAAACCGGAGTACCCGGAGAAAACCCACGCGAACACGGAGAGAACATGCAAACTCCACACAGAAAGGCCCCAGGCCGGAATCGAACCCGCGATGTTAGTGCTGTGAGGCAACAGTGCTAACCACTATGTCACCGTGCCGCCTAAAATAAAATAAAGAAAAAAAGAGTTTCGATTTTTATTTAAATAAGAAAATACTATAATAGAATATTTGTCGCAGTGATTAATATGTTTCAGGTGGCAGCAATTCTTTTTTCCTTGACTGATGCCGTATGTAGCTTCTCATTTCTTAAACGACCATATCGGAAGATGTATCCTGTGGTCATGGAAAAGATGTTACTGTGTTTCATTTGGGGTAAATTATTTTTCAGCAAAGAAAACAACTAAGGACGGAGATTACTGAAATCTCTGGAATTGGGTTGAGAACTGTGTAATGCATTATTAAAACCTGTGAGAATAGTGGTGAATTGTAAACTTTCTGAAGGAAATGGGTCGATAACAAATCATGAATGATCGTTATCATCAGAGATCACTAAAATGCTGGGCGTGGTCTCATTGTAAAAAAAAAAAAAAAATCTACAGTAGAAGTCATTGACAGGGATTGGACTCAGGCCTCAGGCACAGACAGAAAGTCAGTCTCACTGATTTATTAGGAATGGGGGCACAGGCTGGGTCAGAACCAATCAGCCGTATTTGAGCATGGATACAGCAATCCAATCCAAATTGTAGTCGGTGGACAGTCCACAGGTCAAAAGCCAAACAGGAAGACAAAGGGGAGCAGAATCATAAATCCAATGACAATTAAGAAATCCAAACCAGTAATCAACAACACACAGAAGGCTAGACAGACTCAAAAAACCAGAGACAAAGAAAATTAAAACCAGAAATACAGAACTCGGGAATCAAACAACTCGTGGTGCTAAAGAAAAACAAACTCACATGGAAGCACCAAATGCTGCAGATATATAAAGAGAGACTTATGGGGAGGTGAAGTGATTACTGGTGTGCGGATGAGGGTGTGGCTACAAACAAGGGAATGAGAGAGCAATTCACTTAACAAGGAGAACGGGGAGTGCAGGGGAAACAGAGAAACGTGAGAACTGAACTCGGGCATGAGAAAGCCAAAAGGGAGAAACCATAAATCGCTAATAAATACAATTGATACATTTACACATGAAAAATAACAAAACGTAAGAAAACTAAAGAAAATAACGAACACAGTTCTTAGGCATTGACACTCATGGCTATGTTTAATAGTGAAGGCAAAGGCATTTCCATACACACAATGAGAAAAGAATTTGCAGGATTGAGACTAAATAGCTACATGGCCACAAGAAAGCCACTTGTTAGTGAAGCTAATGAGAAATAAAACAAGTTCAGTTTGTTAGGGAGGGAGCGTATAAATTGGACTGAGGAGTAACAGAAAAAGGTCATGTAATCTGATGAGCCCAGGTTTGCTCTGTTGTAGAGTGATGGGTGCTACAGGGTAAGAAAGGAAGCCCATGAAGTGATGCACCCGTCATGCATAGTGCCCTTGTCGTACTCCTCGAGAAGCAGTGTTATAATATGTGGTTGCTTTAATTCATCAGACCTTGGCTCAGCAGAATTATGCAGCAATTAAATTATGTCAGCAGACTACCTGAATGCACTAAATGACCAGGTTATCCCATCAATGGATTTTTTAAATCACTGATGGCACAAGCATATTCCAGGATGACAATCCCAAGATATGGGACTCAGAATGTGAAAGTGTGGTTCAGCAATCATGAGGAATTGTTTTCGCACATGAATTGGCCTTCAGAGTTCTGACAATAACCAATCAAAAGTCTTTGAGATGTGTTGAAGAAGGCTTAAACGAGTGTTATGACTCTCCTGTCATCAGTACAAGACGGTGGCCAAAAATTCATGCAAATCTGGTTGGAAGTAGATTTTACATATTGCATAAATTGTTGAAAGAATGCTTCAACGAACGGGCATCGTGATCAAAGCTAAAGGCAATCCAACAAGATACTAAGGTGCACAACTTTTTTTTGGCCTGGCAGTGTTGAACTAACAGTGTGCACTTTTCCCTAATATTTATTTATAAAATTCTAAACCTATGTGTTTGGAGAACCAAAGCACAAAAAGCACGTTTGATGAGCACAAAATGTATGCAAATATATGCAACACTTGGCATGTGCATAGAACAATAGAAGACTGTTGGTATAAATGAAGTAGTTTATATTTGTGTGACTTTGCCTTGGCACACTGGTGGCTATTGGCTTGAGATACGGTATTCAGTGTGATGGAGAAGGAGTTCAGCAGGGAGTCCTGAAGTTGAAGGAGTGAGGTGGGATGGGATGGGGTGGGGGGGGGGGGGGGGGGGGACGCAGTCCTCCGGCTGTAGCTGTCGAGGGCTGGACTCCGCTCCATCTGGGGACACATGCCTGCCAATGTTCACTCATTTGCTTCAGGGGAGTATATTACGAAGTTAGATCGCTGGGTTAGCGGTGTAAGTTCACTGAGTAAAACCTGGGACCCTTCGAAATCTGGAACATTAGCTGTAGTAGAAACAGCTGTTCCAGGTTTTATTGAGTGAACTTATCCAAATGACTTTGGAGGGAAATTTTTCCCCAGTCCTGGGTCTGTGTTCTAGAGCTCTCCTGCGTCAGTGCTCATGGTCATGTCGGTACTGGAATTTTCAGTTCAGAACATTGAAACCACATGTGTGTGATCTTGCACCTTAACAAGTCAATGAAACCTGGAGGATTTCAGGTCCTGTGTTCATATGCAGACTGGCACACTGTCCTTCTATACTGTGTTCTGTCAAATATTATGTAACGTTCTCTTTCCTCAGCAGGTGTGTGAGCCTCAGCTAGGCTTTCCTGGGCTGGTACTGTACAAACAAATGATTGCCTGTGTGTGGTCCACACATCAGTCCAGTTCCTTAATATTGTGTCACTGAAAATGCAAAATAAAGCAGTCTGAAGCCGTCAGTATAATCCAGCTCTGCCTGCCTCCTGTGCACCATGCTCCATGTGAAGTAGGCTTTTGTCTCGTGAGGTCTGATGATTTGGTGAGAAGCAGTTTGGTTGGTTCAAAGAAATTCAGAGCCTCACTTTCCCGTCAACTGTTTTTTTTTTATTCACTTGCTTTGAATTTCAGCTCCTCTCACAACTCATTTAGTCTTTGGTTTCAGGGTGTAAATGAGGCGGTTGTGTTGGTATCATGGCGACAGGACTGTGTCGCTGTGGCCCGTGAGCTCAGTGGCCTGTCGGCGGAGATGAATGGAGACGGAATGAGGCTGAACCCAGTAAACCCTTCAGGGGCGAAGCAGCTCCCCGTGCACTTTCACAGCTGGGGGTCTCGTGCCCGTACCCCTCCCAACATGGAGCTCACTCCTCCCCGCGGCTTCAGGGGCGTCGGTGTCCGTATTTCAAACAGCCCTCTTCCCGACTCCTCCTTCTCTCCCTCTTTCCATGGGTTTCCCAGCATGCAGTGCAGGTTCTGCCAGTGGAGGTCACGGTCAGGCTTTTGTGAGCCGTAATGGCTCCATTCTCCCCTGAGCTGATCCGATCGCACCCCAGCCCACTGCGCCCAGGCTCCCAGTGGGGGAAGGGGGAGGGGGAGAGGGGAGGGCAAGGAATGGACAAGGGTGTGTGTGTGTGTGTGTGTGTGTGTGTTTATGGCCCTGTGTGCATGAGCACATGTGTGCACCCAGTTTAGGGTCACACATGGACCAGAGAATCAAAGGACATTGTGCCATTCTCCATTTGAACGCAGGAGCTTAAACACTGGGAGTTTTGTTGACCCGTTAAGGTGCAAGAGCACAAACGTGGTTCCAATCCTTGATGAGATGATAAAATGAATTTGGGGAAGTGGGTGATGTTATTGGGAAAACTGCCAAAAAACAGCAGATTTGTGAGGCTCAGAACTTGCTGTTTTCATTGAAATTAGGTCATTTATGAATTTATTCAATTCTGTTGTGATTTTTGGACCTATTATTTTATGGTTATATGTTATCATCCCACCAAGTGTCCGTCTGTCCCTGTCAGAGACGTGCAGTTCTTTATTGCAGTCGCTGTTTTTTTGTTGTTGGGCGTATATTTTCTGACACAGTTTTCCTTACCACCTTGCATAACTTTTATTTTTTTGACTGACGCATCTCAGATTTTTACACCTACTAGTTTTCCCTTTTAGAACCCTGTTAGTATCCTGCTATCTGTTTCGGAGACTTGCCCATCAAAGTGCTCCTACTTGGAGATCATTTATGGGCACACAACCAAGCAAGTTTAGAAAAATGCATAAAATAAATAATATTAATACATTATCAATGGTTAAGGCCCAGTCTTATAATCATTCTATAGATCATGTGTTGAGTAATTTTTTGAAATGTCGTGTGAGCATTGTCATGAGTATCAAACTGAGCAATTTTGGTGATAATTTGGTGGTAATATCAGTTATTAGTTATGCACATTAGAGGTCCCCTATCATGTCACATGGCACAGCCATTAAACCATTACAAGCCATATCAGAATCTGTTCCTTTGTGACATCACATAGGGAAGTGATTGAAGGAAGGACAGATCAACTTCAGCCAACCAGTCAGTCAGTTACTTCATTATTCTGGGTGATCCCTTCCTCTTTTGATGTCACAAGGGACAGATATTGAAATGGCTTGTGATTGTTAATTAGCTGTGCCCCTGGTAACATGAAAGGGGAATACTAATTTTTTTGATAAATTTATTATGTATGTGACAAAAATTAGTTACTGTGCAAAACCTTCATTAATGACAGTCCCCTCCAAAAGTATTGAAACAGCAAGGTCAACTTCATTTTCAACATTGAAGACAATTCAGTTTGAGGTCAAAAGATGCAAGTAAACATGGGACGACAGATCTAAACTTCAGCTTTTAATTTCTGGCATTTTTATTTCGATTTGTGCAACTACAGAACATACTACCTTCTCTATCAGATTTGCTCTCCTAAAAATGGGACAAAGTATTGGAACATGTGACTGAGAGATGTTTCATGTTGTCCAGATGCGTCCTGTTAGATTGACTGGTTAAACTACTGGTTAAACAACAATGTTCTGAAGGTCTACTCTTGGTATTAGTCTTGCTTATGGCCTTTGAAGACTGCATTTGTGTTAGAGAAGATAAA